AAGATTTGCAATAAGCAATTCATGCAGTCAGCTTTATATAGACTTCATATTCGTGAACATTACAAGGTAAGTTTTTCTTTTTTTTTTTTTTTTTTTTTATTTATATAAGAATGATTTTTATATATATATAATAGAATCATAATGTTATCTTATTTTGTATGATTTTTGCGTACAGCTACGGACGAAGATCGTCAAACAGACGAAAAAAGGAACGAAACATAAGATTATGTATAAGTGTACGATATGCTTGAAATCGTTTCAAAAACCTAGTCAACTAATGCGTCATATTAGAGTTCATACGGGAGAGAAGCCTTTTAAAGTAAGCACACTTTTTTCTCTGTTCGGAGAATTTTTCTTTTTCTTATTGTTAACCAAACGATGCACAAATATTTATTAACATTATGTTTTTTTTTTTTTTATATTTACAGTGTAACATCTGTAGTAGAGCATTTACTCAAAAAGGTTCTTTACGAATTCATATGTGGCAACATGATGGTATCAGACCTCATACATGTACTCTTTGCAATGCAAGATTTAGTCAAAAAGGTAGATTATAATTAACGTAATGTATGTATTAATTTAATCTAATAAGTAATTTGAAATATTAAAAGATATATTTTTTATCGCGTGCTGTTTTAATAATTTTTTTTTTTTTTATTTATTCTAAAATGTATATCTAATTTATTTTATAAATATATTTTCAGGAAACCTAAATGCCCATATTTTAAGGGTACACAGTGCTACTGAAGGAGAATCTATATATGGATGTACTTATTGTCCTTGTATTTTTAAAAAACTTGGCAGTCTTAATGGTCATATGAAAAGAATGCATTCGAATGTGACAGAAGTAGTTAAAAAAAAATTATAATTAATTAAAATATTTGATATATATATATATATTATTTTTTGAATCAAATGGAAAATGTTTAATATTTTCTTTAGGAGACAACATCAAAATGCGAAAGTTCTACGGAGGCTGATATGCGAGCTACAGTTGATAGTGTCATATCACAACTAGCATCCTTGGAATCTGGCATTACTAATGTAGAAAATTCTACTCAATCTGTAGCTACGACTGAAAATAGAAGTGATATTTTACAGGAAGCATTAAATAATAGTGGATTGCCTAGTAAAGAAAAAGATCCCACTAATGGTATTATATAATGTATAATCTTGTCGATGTGTGCAAATTTTAATAATATATTTTAATTTTCATTTTTTTTTTTTT